TCAGATGGTGGTCAGATGGTGGTCAGATGGAGCTCAGATGGTGGTCAGATGGTGGTCAGATGGTGGTCAGATGGAGCTCAGATGGAGGTCAGATGGAGGTCAGATGGAGGTCAGATGGAGCTCAGATGGAGCTCAGATGGTGCTCAGATGGTGCTCAGATGGAGCTCAGATGGAGCTCAGATGGTGCTCAGATGGAGCTCAGATGGAGCTCAGATGGAGCTCAGATGGAGCTCCATCCTGTCCTCTCCTGGATGAAAACCTCCAGCTGCTGGTTGGTGGTTAAAGTTCTGATCAGACCCAGTCAGAGAACCTTGAGTTTGCTCAGTTTGCCAGCAGGTCTTGTCCTCCGCCTCGCCTCCACCTGAGAACATCCATCACACCACTGGACGGAGGCCAGCGGTCGTCTCCTCTCTGATTGGCTGCCGGCCCAACTCGGAGCCAATCGGTGCCTCAGAAGCTGCTGCATGGACGTAGTCAGCTGGCTTCAGGCTGTGGATCCACTGAGGACGTCCCAGTCTCTGGTCTCTGACGGGAATCCGCCGGTTTACTGTCAGGAACAAGAGAAACGACACATTTTCAGGGATTTCCTTCACTGTTATCTCCGACGCTGCTTCGTCAGTCGAACACTCTCCAGCTCCTCCTGTGAACGTGGCAGCACCATGATTAATGGATCAGCTGAGCAAAACACTCATAGCATTAAATATAGACGCTCAGTCACAGAGTTAGTGTGAATAATTCATCCTCCTGTGTTTTATGCTGAATCTTTAACGTCCACATGATCCCGTCTTCACACAGCAGCTCTAGAAACGGCTGCTTTCGCTGGTTCTCCGTCCTTTGAGTGTTTCTTTTAGTTTTTAAAGATGACATTTTCCTGAACTAGAATTATGTTTCTACAGCGTGAAGAGGCCTCTGCTGCAGGACTTCGTGCACTCATCTTTATTTTCCTAATTAATCTGTGAGTTGTCTGTAAACGAGAGAAAAATGTTGAATACCAGGAAACGACTTCAGACGTCCACAACAGTGAACCGTGACTGATAGAAGAATGAAGTCTGTGTTTCAGGATTGTTGTTTTCAGTTTTTCTCTGGCCATCAGCTGATCAATAATCAATCATCTTAAGTGTTTCCTGGACTCGTATAAGGAACCAGAAATAACAGAAACTATATCTGAGCAGGTAAACGACTCAGTAAAAGGAGGAAAATGTAAATAATCTGAACACTTTGGTGGCTTGTTTTAAATGTGAGGTTGTTTTGGAGCAATGATTGTGTTCCTAATCAATCAGTCTGTAATGATCAGATCGATCAATATTGTGTTTATAATGATTATAGGAAACACTTAACGGATCTGACAGGTGGTAGAAGTCTGAATGTGTCCTGCAGAATCCTCATGGAGTCGATCAGGAGAAAACTAACCATCAGCTTCTTAAAACAAAACCAGTTTTTGTTGCTTTGCTGGTTTGAGCTCCTCAGATGGAGGACGTGTGTTGACCTGAATGCTTTTGGCTTTTCCAGTATTTCAGAGGGTGCTTTTCAATGTTTTCTGACAATTTATAGACTAAAATGAATAGAATATAAAGAAAAGGGTCTGCAGAGACGCTGTAGTCTGGAGACGTTTCACCAACAGTCTGGTTTCTGGTGAACAGGATAATGTGTAGGGCAGCAGACATCCAGGGTTTCTACTGAGGACCAGCTTTGTTCTATATCTGACTGTTTAATGTGGACGATACTCATTCATTTATCATCAGCGCTTCATGGTTCTGGTCACGTGTGAGGACGTTTAACAGAACCTGTACTAAGTCCAGTAGTTTCTGTGTTCCGGCAGGTTTCTCTTCCCTATTTAGGTTTCTTTAAAATCAAACGTATTTGCAGCCAGACTCACATGTATTAAATCCATTTCTGCTCGTTGACCTTCTTCTGCTGCAGCTCAGGTGTTTCCACAATTTAATTAAAGCCTGAGCAGGTCAAAGCTAACGAGGTTAATCCTCCCAGTTAAACTAATTCACTTTGCATCGCTGGAATGAAATGAAATGTCAATACAGCGCCACAGACTGGACCGCAGCCCGCCGTCCGTCTCTGTGGTTCCTCTTCGTCTCTGAGAGTCGCTTCCTCCCGATTCATCACCGAGGAACAAGCTCAGCGACGGACAGACGAAGGAAGAACCAGCAGAACGTCTCAGAGGGATTGAACTCAACCTGAAGGCGCTGCAGCTGCTCTGTAGTTTAATAGATAATAAATCTGTACAAACACAGTGTGACACGTCAGAAGATGTTGGTTTCCACATCTTCAAGCTGAAGGATGAAGCGGCACAAACATAGCTGAAGGACTTCCTGTGTATAAACACACCGACATGAGCTGATATCAGCTTTGGTCAGAAAATGTAGTTAAGACATGAAACTTTTCTTTACTAATGTAAATATATTCATTTCATAAAATATTACATTCATGATAAAAACCTTTGAATAAAAGATTGTAAACATTTCGATCCCATGTGTTAAAGTCCATGATACTGGCTTTTGGCCTGATTTCATGTTCTTCTGTGTAACACCTCACAGCACCACCATCAGTGGACTCACCTGCAGGACGCGGTACTGAATACAGAGGTTCTGTAAGGAATGAGTTATCCTGTGTTCTCCAGTGAACCCGCTGACGTGCGTTCTGAACTTATTCAGGCTGATATTTACAGTCGTGAGAGTTAAACTTATCATAGGTTTATGTCCCAGAGGTGGAGTTTATCAGCTGCTGTGTGATGCACATGTGAGTTTGGTTAATGAGCAGCTCGTTAACGTGCAGACTGTGGACAGCAGGGGGCGCTGCAGGCAGCGTCATCCTGATTGGACTGTCCAGCTCCACGACCATCCAATCACAGGGAGGAACAGTCGTGCTCACAGCCAATCACACAGTCACACCGGTCAAACTATTGGTTGCTTTTCTTAAATTCATTCTAAATCAGAGAGTACATCAATATGATTATATTGACAGTAATATTGATCAGCTGATTGCTGCTCCAACATCCAGTTTAGTGCCGTGTCATCCTTTATCCGCCCGGCAACTGTTGCCAGGCAACTGGGCAGGTGTGTGGTCCAGTAGAAAGACGGCTGAGCCCCCCGAGGTGACGAGGACAGGTGGGGTCTGAAACACAGTTTATTGAGCGGTTCATATTCAGGGTGTTTGATCGAAGAGCATCTGAATAATTCATCAGCAGGTTCACTGGCTGTCAACACAAAAGACTTTAGAACAGAACCGAAAGAGAATAATGGAGCAACAAGGTGTCATGGTACAGTCTGATGGTACAGTCTGAGTCTGATGGT